TCAGTGCTAAATTACAGAGTCAACACATTTACTACCCTGTTTTCTGCTGGCCTGTGATACAAAGAAATTCCTGGACAAGATGAAGCAATGGAGTTGGACAGTGAGAATCAAGTGTTTGCAAGACAGGTAATCCTGATGACCCAGAACAGGAAGACACTGCTGCTGGGTCATCTACATAGCAACCTATTTTTCAAGAAAAACTTCTGTTGAACAGTATTGTGATAAATGAAGGGATGGGGGTAGCTCCCATTTATGGACATCCAGCCAGCCAGTTAGCTGTAAAATCCCTCTTGGTAGCTGTTCTCTGCTTGCTTTACCTGTAAAAGGTTAAAGTCCCCCAGGTAAAGAAAGGGGCACCTGACCAAAATAGACAATGGGAACACTAGAACTTTTTAAAATTGGGAAGGAAGCTTTCCCTTTGTGCCTGTGGTTGTTTTCCGGAGTGGGGGGGTGGCACAGAGCAAAGTCAGGGCTATGACTACGCTTTAAACCAGGTCTGAGAAATCATCAGATTGTCCCTAGAATTACTGAATTGACCCCACCCCCCCCGAATATGTAAGTAACTTAGGAATGTTTAGAAAGACGCGATTAGGTTTATTTCTCTTTATTTTTTAAGTCTTGTGGACTGTTCTGTGCTAACCTCAGATGCTTTCATTTGCTTGTAATCTTTAAGATGAACTCCCAAGAACGTTAGTTTTGGAATTGCTCTTCTAAAAACTTGCAAAAACCTAAATTCCAAATGTATTTTCTTCCTTTTTGTTTTTAATAAAATTTACCTTTTTTAAGAACAGGATTGGATTTTTGGTGTCTGAAGAGGTTTGCGCATGTTGTTTGATTAGCTGGTAGCAACAGCTAATTTCCTTTGTTTTCTTTCTCAGCTCTTCCCAAGAGAGGGGGTGAAAGGGCTTGATAGTACCCCACAGGGAGGAATTCCCAAGTGTTCCTTCCTGGGTCCACGGGGTTTTTGCATTTGGGTGGTGGCAGAATTTACCAAGCCAAGGTCAGAGAAAAGCTGTAACCTTGGAGTTTAATATCTAGAGTGGCCAGTATTAATTTTTAGAATCCTTGAAGGCCCCCACCTTCTACACTCGAAGTGCCAGAGCGGGGAATTAGCCTTGACAAGTATGGATGTGAAAATAAAACTGATAAACAGTAATGACACCCTCTGCTTAAAGGGTGATGCAATCAAAGGTTATAACCTGCGGATTATATCAGTAACCCATTTTTAAAAGAAAGTACGCTTGGCCCCGGCACTGTCTGTATCAGGTGGACAACAAAACTAACTGGGTGAACATTGGCTCACCTTGTACCTGGAGAATTACCACAGAGAGTTATTTGTCTCATACAGACACAGCCTGAACAGCATGTTCTTTCCTAGAAGCAGCATGACGTTTTTAAATAAAAATGCTGCTGACGTTATGTTCCACCCTTGACAATTACAAAAGCCCCATACTCCTACCTGTAGCTATCACTGTGTGTTTTCCTTCCATCACCGTAACAATGGTTTACCTTTTCACCAGTTTTTAAAATTGTATTCTAATGACTTAGTGCAGTGTTTCCCAAACTTGGGATGCTGCTTGTGTAGGGAAGGCCCCAGGTGGGCCGGTCCGGTTTGTTTACCTGCTGCATCCAAAGGTTCAGCTAATCACAGCTCCCACTAGCTGTGGTTCGCTGCTCCGGGCCAATGGGAGCTGCTGGAAGCGGTGCGGGCCGAGGGACGTATTCCTCTAGGAATTTCCAAGATATTATCATGGTGCTTGTCTCTGATATACAGAGGGCTCCCCAGAACAAGTTAGCCTTGCTGTTCCTTGAAAGGACATGGATACAGCCCTCTGATTAATAATTGGCCCACAAGCAGTAATTCTTCAAAAACAGAAATAATATTTCTTTAGAAATGAGTGGGAGGAGCTTTTAGAGAGGGTCACATGCCACCTCTTGCTCCAGGTTACATGTCAATCTCTGCCCCAGGACTTGCCCTAATTGGTCAAACTCCTCTTGGGGCAGGCCTATGGGTCACCCAACAGGCTAGAGATAGGCACAGAATCCAGGTTTCCTATGTTCTAGTCCTGTGCTCTTCCTGGTCATACATTAACCCCTTTTCTCACACAATGCCTTTTCCCAATAAAGACAAGTCCCTCTAGGTCCTGTCCCTGAAACGTTCACCATAAGGGCTGTGAGGAAGACGTGGGCTCAGGGCAGGAGGAAAGGGAACTGAGAGAAGGAGCTGGTTTGTGGAAAAAAGATTGAAGTAACTTCAGGGGCACCATTTCATACTGTGGTGTGCGGAATATTAATAATGATTCCTGGGGCTACTTAAGCACCTGAAAACTCTAGATTTTGTATATAAGGTGGTGGGCCCACAACCAAAAAATATAGCGAGGGGTAGGTCAGCTCAAAAAGTTTGAAAACTTCTGAGGATGCTAGAAGGGGGTAACTAGCGGCTGTGTGCAGGCATGGAGGTAGCTCAGGTTCCAGGTGGGGGTGTACTTCAGGGGCCAGGCAGGAGTTTGCTAGGGGCTGTGTTCCTAGACAGGTGTAGCTCAGATTCCAGGTGGGGGTGTACTTCAGTGGCCAGGCAGGAGGTTGCTAAGGGCTGTGTTCCTGGAGAGGTGTAGCTCAGGGAGCAGACAGGAGGTATATAGGGGTCTACAGGGGTGTAACTCATGATGCAGGGAGGGGCTGTATCCAAGGAGGTGCTGCTACTGTGGGCCCAGCCATACGCTCAGTCCCTAGCTGGCACAGTGGGGGCAGCTCTGCTGATCAGTGGCCGGGGTGAGGTGCGTGCGCTGCCCACCCACTTCCGCAATGCGCAGGCGGAAGGGAACACCCCGATACCAGCCCCCACCCCGTTCTATGCAGCATATCAGCAGGTGAGGAGCGACGCCAGTGGTGGCCTCATACTGGGAAGCGGGGCAGCATGGCTGCAAACAACAGCGGAGAAGGGCAGAGAGGGTGGGGAGAGGAAGGGCAGCATCTTCCCTTCTGCTGCACACTTCACACAAATCTGGTACAAAAGTAGCCGGGGTTGGGGGAAGGCCTTTCCTAAATGGTGCCCCCAGGGTAACAATCTTTTGCTGCTGCAAAGATATGCAAAGCAGCTGTGAGCTCGATTGTTTCTCCCTCTCCATAGGAGGACCCCATGTGGCTGCCTCAGTTACACCCTCACTTGCAAATTTGCTCAGGTTTCTATAAGCCTGGGTCTTTGGGATTTGCAATGCTCTTCGGGCTCTTGCATAGGAACCTGCTGCACAGGGCAAGGTCTGGACGCTCAGGCACAAGAGAAGGGACCTCATGATGGGGAGGTTTGGGAGCCGAGGGGAGCAGAGAGAGGGTCGACAGGCCGTGGAGCAGTGATGTGGGCGTTACACACTGTGCAGCCAAACTGGGACTGAACCCCACTCCTCTGACAACAACACAAACCAAATGTCTTTGTAAAAGGACCAAGGAAAAAGTCACGATTTATCCATGTGAGCTCACTGAAATGTATAAATATGTACGTCCCCTGGTCTAGGAACACCCCTGGGTGGATTTTACACATGGCAGTGACCGTTTATTTTATTTATATGTAGTTAAAATAACAGAAGGAAGGGATTTTTATGGAAAAGAAATAGCAAAACAGCCCCTGTGTGGAATCAAAATACTCACAGGCATGTTTGCAATACACCACAACCAGCAGCTACTTTTATTAAAAGGAGAAGAACAAGCTTTTGGCGGGGGGGGACACAAGGGCTCCCTTGTGGATTTTTTCCAGCTTGCGAGATTCTTTGCAGCCCAGATGAAAAGCATCCAAGGATTTTAGAAGCAAAACGTCATCTGCCAGATTCCGAGAGATCCTGCATTGACAATCTCTGCTGCCATCACTCACTCTCTCTATTGCAAAAAGGGAAGAAACTCTCACATTCTATGTTTATAGCCATTAAAACAAGGACAATGTAACGTTACATTTCAAAGTCAAGGTAGAGCAGGAACTTCCCCATCATTTAATAGTGTGAGCAGATGTAACTCCAACAGACCTTGCTTGATATCGTTCAGGATTGAACCTGGAGCCTCGGAAGTTTAATGAATGAGCTTCTACAGTATGAGCTAAAAGCCAACTTCCTCTTATTTAAGGTTGTAGAACAGATTCAGTCTATCTATTATATTTAAACATGTGTACTGGCTGACTTCTGAAGTAAATATGCTGGACTTCTGAACATGGCTCTCCCCTCCCTCTGCCCCTAACTCTCCAGTAAAGGAGTCACATTCTGATTTCCTTACAAAACTCCTTCTTATTAACATTCTACACAGTTTAAGTGACAACCAAAAAAAATAAATGAATAAAGTCACTGGGTGATTAAAAAAAGAACAAGGGCAAATTACCGGTAAGTATAAAAATGGCTAGAAATATGATGTACAATATCATAGAAATGTTCATGAAACTTTTAAAAAAAGTTGAAATTTGAAATTCCATTGAGGGAATTAATCAAAATTGTGAATTTTAAAAATATTGACAATCTCTATGGTATATAGAAAAATAAAACCAAAAATATGTAAGATGTAGAATAATTTGACTCACGTCCGTGTTTAGTTTTCCTTTCAAACACACTTTTGTTCAAAGCTAAAACTAAAACAATAAATATTTAATTAGAGGTTAAATAAGTTATTCTTAAAGAATGCCCGGACTATTCTGTCTTCCAGCTCATGTAAGCCTAATAGCTTGACCCTATTCAGATGGTACGTCCCTATCTGCTGATAATCTCTGCACATATTCAGGTTTCAGAGTAGCAGCCGTGTTAGTCTCTATCCGCGAAAAGTACAGGAGCTTTCGTGGGCTACAGCTCACTTCTTCAGATGCATAGAATGGAACACACAGACAGAAGATATTTATACATACAGAGAACATGAAAAGGTGGATTCGATTATCACTTCAAAGGGTTTTTTTCTCCCTACTGCTGATAGCTCATCTTAATTGATTGGCCTCTTACAGTTGGTATGGGTACTTCCACCTTTTCATGTTCTCTGAAAATGTGTGTTCCATTCACTCCTCCCAACTTCCTCTCTTAGTCCTGTCCCTGCTGTGACATTAATTTGAGCATGCTGGGCACCTTGTACAAGACTAAGGGGAGATCCAGCAGCTAACAATAAGAACACACATAGAATTGGCTACAGACAAGCAATGAGACCAAGTTAACTTAACTGTAGAAAACATGTTTAAACCAGTAAAAAGAAATTCTGAGCAATGCTAGTATTGAAATCACTAAGGTTTGTAATTGCTCTGGAATTCTAAAAGGAGAAATGCAAAGGCACCGAGTATGTACTGAGCTACCATAAAGACTGAAAGTAGCATCAATCCTTAAAGGCACTAGTGCTTCTTGAATTGTATTGCAGAGTGAGCATATCTGATAATATACATGCGTGACCCACTGGTCAGTGTGTGTTACGAATTACCCTCGGTGGAGGCTGAGAGTCGGTTACAGGCTCCATCTAGAGACTGGAGCTTTTGTTCAATCTGAAGGCACTTGAGCATTTAGTTCTGGAGGGTTCTGGTTCAAACCACAGAGTACTGGTCCCAGAAGGCATGACAGCCTTCACACGTGTGGACAAAAGAGCCT